ATATTTGTCCAGTTGGATGAATTATCCATGCTCAATGTATTGCACAATCAATGTATGTATTATTGCTGAAAAAATGCGTCCAAAAATAGGTTTTAATAGTAATGCATATTTCCATCTCTATTTTCAGCAATAGTATCAAATATGTTTTTTTTTTTTTTGTTTTTTTTTTCATGAAATTGTGACTCTAGAAATTATTTTGCCTCTAATTACATACAGGAAAATAAAGACATGCCTGCTGGTGGTTATGGTTGTAAAGCTGAATGTGTCACATAATCATAAAGCCTCAATAATCAACAACATTTTAATTATAATAATGATCTAATAATAATCTAAAGTGCTAAATGGTTGAAAATGGAGACAGCATAGCACTGTCGCATTAATAACTTTTCTGCACTTTTCGCACGTCTGTGCAAACCGACCCCCTGTGCTTCTCCTTCATGCCTAAAAATCCCAGAAAAACCCTGTATAGTGCATGAGCTTATTTAAGTATGTTTATTTTATAAAAAAATTCCTATTAAGTAAAAGTCCTAAAATCTCAGTTTTTAAAATGGCCTTCATTTTTCAGTGTGGGATTATGTTGATGAACTTATTTTAAAGCTTTTTAGACACCTTTACTTATCAGGCCAATCATTTTTGGGAATGGGCTTATTCTCAAAGCAGATCAAAAGGCTTTTCAAAGAAGATGTATAAAGTGAAGCTAGAAGGGGAACACTGAGTGGTTTACCTGTGGTGGGTAAAGCTCCAGAGTGCAATCAATACAGGCCGTCATGCCAGGCAGGATGACGCGGGCATTTCCTTTAAAGCCCTCTGTCCCCCCATCAATGAGGGGGATGATGGAGCTAGGATCCAGGACTCCTTCATCATAGCTCAAGAGCGATATCTAGAGATCCACAAGTAATCACCAAACATGGTAAGCTAAATCTCTTCACAAAGAACAGCAGCTAATGTAAAAAATAAAAATAAAAAAAGAGACGTATTTTATTCTCTCTTCCACTTATATCCCACCAGCATTCCATTTATCCAGCGTCTTGCAATAATGGAGTCAAGTCCACAGACAATGATGTGAAACTCTGCAAAGACAAACAGCTCAAAATGAAACCACTTACTTATGAAAATGATCTGCTAAGATTATGAGACATAAATTCACTTACGCCTGTAGAAGGAATCATTAAAGTCTTGAATCTTTTTAAAGTGACTGCGTGCCATCGCTAAGGAAAAACAGTAACATACAAGCAAGGAGCACATAATTAAATAAACATTAAGTGGTTTTATCTTTAGGGATGACGGGTGAAGGATACGGGACGACTTTACACCCTGCGATACGACTGTTGATGAAATCAGCAGCCACATGTGCCTTTGGTCTTCCAACGTCTTTGGGCCTTCACATAACAGAACGTTAACATCTTATTAATGCAACATGGGGCAAACTGGATAAACCATTTTGTTCAGAAAGCAACCTAGTGAGGGAGGGAGCAAATATTTTTTACATATTATGTGTTCTTTTTAAAATACTGATCCAGACCTAATAGATATCTAAATCAAATGTCTTGAAAATGGTTAGGAAATCTTTACGTTTCCACTAAAATGCATGCATTTCATTGGAAAACCTAAAAGAAATACAAATGTTTTGCAGTACAGTTCTTTTTATTTTATTCTGTTCTGCTGTTAAGGTTAAGAATGACTTTTAACTGTTTTTTTTAAATATAGAGGTAAAACCAACCTGAAAAGAAATTGCCTGTTGAGATTTGACACATCAATGGTATCCATGTCTACCACATGAATAAGGCGAAACCCTGACAGAGCCTATAAAGAAAAGCCCTTTCATATAACAATATATCTGAAAAGGTCCAGACAGAACATGTCATTATTGGAAAGATAAAAGCTATTTACTTACCAGATTTTTAAGAAGTTCACATCCAAGTCCTCCTGCACCAATGACCAGAATCTTACAAGTCTCCAATAAAAACTGCAGAGACTGATTTGAAACAAAGTTGTACATAAAGCTTGGTATGTCTGAACATTTGTGAGCATTTCCACACATTTTCACTATGATTACCTCGGTGCTAGGCTCAAAGTCAGGATGGGTGAAGGGACCCGGCCTCTCCAAAAACTTCTTCACATGATTCCAGCGACCCTCCCAGTCGCAGCCGCTATCTCCGTGTCCACTGTCAACAGCCATTCTGGATGCAAAACACAGCAAAAACAATAATTTCTTACTCCTTAAAGGAGGGTAACTAACTTTAGAGATCAGTGGGCTGTTACCGATCAAATCTCCATTACATACATGCATGCATGCATAAACTTGCACCTAAAGGGTAAGTGGATCAGTCCGTGCAGTTTTTAGACACCAAATCTATATGGGGAAAAAAAACATGCATACATGCAGATGACAAGCAAACCAAACACAGGAAGGCTTCGGCCAGAATTTTAATTAATCTACAAAATACTTGCTGTAATTTTTTGGAAAAATTCTCCAATTTACAGCCAAAGGTTTAAAAGACTTAGAGAAATCTTGATTGGTTTCAATTTACATCTACTCTAGTTAGAGGACTGATCAGACAAAATACTAATCATTAAGCTGATTAAAGTAAATGGAAAAAAAATATTTACATGATTTTGACTGACTAATAGTTAAAAAAATGATCAGAAAAGGATGGCTGATACTATTTTGTCATTTAGATGTAAATGAAGGAGCAGAATCAGTGCATTAAAGAGGAGCAGGATCTAAACCCCTTCTGCTGAAGCATCAAGGCTGAAATCAGCACTTTGCATCAAACTGGCCACAAAGAAAATGATGTTTCTACAATAAGAACTGCAAGAAAATCCACCTAATAAATGACTAGGGAAATTCAGTGGAAGGGGTTAAATTGCAGGAACATCATTTAGATGTTGAACTTCAGTAAACCACCTGCATCCTTTAATAACAAAAAATAGAAATCTAGTAATCAAGCAGTATAAACATGGGAGAAAAGGGCCTAGTTAATAATTAGCATTTAATCTCAGTAGGCTAATGGTGCTGTTTTGAAAACATCCTCATAGCATGCTTGCAGCTAAGAAGCACTTGCAGATCTGCCAAGCAGTTATTAGCTCTACTAGCTAATAACGTTAGCGAAGCTGCAGCTCTTAGCCAACATGTTTTATGTTTCCATGTCTGCTGGCCTAGCAGTCGCTGCTCACAGTGCAACGCAAACCTGCCGCCAGTCAGAGACCTTTATTTAGCATTCGTCACTAACTTCTCAGTCAGGTCCTCAAATCGCCTTCTTTTCTTCTCCCTGGAAATGAGACGGTAAAAAGGGGTATTTATGCGAATATGTCTGTTTTATGTCGATGATAAATTCATATTTATTGCTCATTGAGACTTACGGCTCCTCGGCATCCGCCATACTTTCAAGGTCCCATGTCCTCGATTCAGGCTGCGCGGTGTTCAGGGGCGTCAAAGCTGCGCAGCGCGCTGCAGTTCACACTTTATGACACTAGAGGGTACTGTTGCTTCCTGCGCTTTACTGTTGTTATATATTGAGAAAATGAACTGAAATATATTGATGGTCTGTGGCAATTATACTAAGCTTACAATGGGTAGAGGAGGTTAGACAGACAGGGTGGTGGTATGTACAGATTCCAAAGCAGTTTTAGAAAGTATTCAGGGAGACCGAAATGATAGAAAATATTTAGTATTAGAAATCAAGCACAGTCTATTTAGATTATATAGGGGTGGTATTGATATTTGGTTATGTTGGGTTCCAGACCATGAAGGTGCAAAAGGCAGTGAAAAAGCAGATATATTAGCAAAAAGGGCTTCAGAGGGAACAATAACAATTACAATTCCTTTTGGGAAAAGGGAAGGTAAATAATTTGGCAAAAGAGATTAAATGAAGATAAGAAAGGAAGAGGATTATATAAGGTACAAAAATCAGTATTAAATAGAATCATTAATGAGAGAAACTGAAGGGAAGAAGTAATAATCATCAGATTAAGAGTGGGTCATACCTATTTAAATGAAATTTTATATTTAATAGGCAGGAAAAATAATGATAAATGTGAAGGATGTCGAGAAAAAGAAAATGTAAGACGTACTGATTAACTGTAAAACTTATGAACATGAAAGGGAGAAATTGACAAGGATGGTTGGAAGGGCAGGCCAAGAATGGAGTCTTAAAGAAATATTGGGAAATTAAGGAAATATATAGGATATTCACAGATTAAGGAAAGCATTATTCATTCATCTACAAAATACAAAATTAAAAAATAGAATTTGATGTAAAGTAATGTTGCTACACACTCATATACAGTAGGTGGCGGTATGCACCTTAAAGTTGCTTGCGATCCACCATGATAGAAAAGAAGAAGAAGAAGAATATTGACGGAAGTTGGAAAATATTCGACTGGAGCTTCCGTACTTTGGGGTCTAATCCAGAAAATATAACGCTGTTGCTTTTCATTTGCCTTTAAAATACACATGGCACCAGGATGCTGTAAATCATTATTTTTCCAGATTAAATCTTACTGAGCTGCATAATATACATGAAACAACAATTAGATTTATATGGTGACATGTTTTCATGCGCTTTTGCATGTAAAGAACGGTAAAATTGATACATTTTTGTGACACGTTTATTTATATGGAGCAAATGGGACCGGAGTAAAAGTAAAATTCCGTTATCATAACGTTATTTCCTTTCTTTGTAAGAAAAAAATAATATGTTGGTTTTTGTTTCTCGTTAAATGTAATTTGTCGAGTTCTTATTTCTACAATGTCAGCAAACCTTTAGTTGTCCAATTTTCTTGTCGTTTTTATTTCCTTTCCATTCAGTTTTAACCCATGCTACGCGTTGTACAGCACGGGTTCATTTTGAAACCACACTCCAGTCTGGTAGGTGGCGGTAAATGCACCTTTAGTTGAAGAAGAAGGTTCATATTTTTTTGACTGATCTCGCGAGAGTTGCTTCTAGTATGCTCTGTATAGAGAGCAGAGAACAGCTGACCCGTCCAAAACAGTATTGTTTTGATTTTTTATTTTTTTTTATAACACGCTGAGCTGAAGTCATGGCAGCCAAAATGGAGCTCGCTCCTCTCAGACCGTGGAGTGACTTCTTTCCCGGAGCGGACAGGTTCTCCAAACCAGAGTTTGGAGATTTAACCAAGTGGAACGATAGAATGATCAGCAATTTGATGTATTACCAGACTAATTATTTCATCGTAGTCTTGATTGTCTTTCTCTTTGTGGGGTAAGTCTTAGCTGCAGTAGCTAATAGCATGCTACTAGCATCCGTCAGTTTTTCCACACGCCCATCCCGGATATGCAGCTTTTTTTTTCTTTTTTTTTTTGCATTACAGTAAAATATTTAGACAGTTTTTAACTAAATATAAATGTGTTAATATTCTTACTGTCGACTTTGCTTTGAAATATTAAATATTGATGCAGAGCTTTCAGTTTTACAGTTGCCATACATTCATGTTTCATACAGCGGTTTTTTTGTTTTGTTTTCCAGGTTCCTGAATCCCTTTGGCATGTTTCTGGGTGGTACTGTAGTTTCGTTGGTCTTCGCTGGTTCCGTTTGGGCCGGGGAGAACAAGGCCATAATCAAGAACTTCAAGAGGAAGAACCCCACTCTGTTTGTGATCGGGGTCATGGCCACCAGCTACTTTCTGCTCTCACTGTGTGGAGGTGTCATGGTCTTCATCTTCGGAATCACTTTTCCTTTACTGCGTAAGTCTCACTATGTGGGAGTGTGATCTATTGTCACAATCTACAATTCCTCTAAGGATTTAAATCTGCCAGAGTTTGTTTAAAGAGATAGATATTGTTATTATTTATATAGTAGATATGAAATGTAGTCGAATTAAACTGAGGTAACTGTCACATTTTTTTTTTTTTACAGAAGGTATTCTGAAAGTTAGCTGAAATATTTTGATCAAATAGTTTTGCACATTTGCAAAACGAGCAGCAATAGTAAATACCCTATGCACACACACACACACACACATATATATACACTATATTGCCAAAAGTATTTGCTCACCTGCCTTGACTCACATATGAGCTTAAGTGACATCCCGTTCCTAATCCATAGGGTTCAATATGACGTCGGTCCACCCTTTGCAGCTAGAACAGCTTCAACTCTTCTGGGAAGGCTGTCCACAAGGTTTAGGAGTGTGTTTATGGGAATTTTTGACCATTCTTCCAGAAGCGCATTTGTGAGGTCGCACACTGATGTTGGACGAGAAGGCCTGGCTCTCAGTCTCCGCTCTAATTCATCCCAAAGGTGTTCTATCGGGTTGAGGTCAGGACTCTGTGCAGGCCAGTCAAGTTCATCCACACCAGACTCTGTCATCCATGTCTTTATGGACCTTGCTTTGTGCACTGGTGCACAGTCATGTTGGAAGAGGAAGGGGCCAGCTCCAAACTGTTCCCACAAAGTTGGGAGCATGGAATTGTCCAAAATGTCTTGGTATGCTGAAGCATTCAGAGTTCCTTTCACTGGAACTAAGGGGCCAAGCCCAGCTCCTGAAAAACAACCCCACACCATAATCCCCCCTCCACCAAACTTTACACTTGGCACAATGCAGTCAGACAAGTACCGTTCTCCTGGCAACCGCCAAACCCAGACCCGTCCATCAGATTGCCAGATGGAGAAGCGCGATTCGTCACTCCAGAGAACGCGTCTCCACTGCTCTAGAGTCCAGTGGCGGCGTGCTTTACACCACCGCATCCGACGCTTTGCATTGCACTTGGTGATGTATGGCTTGGATGCAGCTGCTCGACCATGAAACCCATTCCATGAAGCTCTCTGCGCACTGTTCTTGAGCTAATCTGAAGGCCACATGAAGTTTGGAGGTCTGTAGTGATTGACTCTGCAGAAAGTTGGCGACCTCTTCGCACTATGCGCTTCAGCATCCGCTGACCCCGCTCCGTCAGTTTACGTGGCCTACCACTTCGTGGCTGAGTTGCTGTCGTTCCCAAACACTTCCATTTTCTTATAATACAGCTGACAGTTGACTGTGGAATATTTAGGAGCGAGGAAATTTCACGACTGGATTTGTTGCACAGGTGGCATCCTATCACAGTTCCACGCTGGAATTCACTGAGCTCCTGAGAGCGACCCATTCTTTCACAAATGTTTGTAAAAACAGTCTGCATGCCTAGGTGCTTGAATTTATACACCTGTGGCCATGGAAGTGATTGGAACACCTGATTCCAATCATTTGGATGGGTGAGCAAATACTTTTGGCAATATAGTGTATATATATATATATATATATATATATATATATTCAAAAGCTTCTTACTGCACAGAATGTTCTGCTTTTGCTGTTCTGCTATTTATGGAGTATTGTTAGCACAATAATCTAATATGAGACAGAGCAGCTGCTCGGAAAGAGCCTGCCATCAGTCGCTGAAAAGATATGCCACTTTTAGCTTGCCAAGTGTTGTTTAATAACATCATTAACTTACTGTTTGGAGGGGCTCATTTTAGTTTCCACATGAACACTTTTTTAGTTTAATGAAAAAGGAAATAATCTAAGAACAGAACTGGAACCCTCCCACACACACACACACACACACTATCTACTATATTTGCCAGATAAAAGGATGTGACAGAAATAAAAGCTTCAAAAGATGTGCTTAAGACTCCTGAACTTTCTCTCCATCCTGAGGCATAAACTGGACATCAGCCAAAGGATTTTAGCAGACTTTATCATCAGTAAACACAGCAACTCTATAACTCTGGCAAACAGACAAAGCTGTTTGATTACATCCCAGGAGATCTGCCCGCTAGCTGTGTTGACAGGTTGCTAGGGCTTGTTGATTTGGACAGAACCGCATTGGCTGCCTGATGTCATGCAATCAGTATCTGTCAAGGAAATAAAAACCTATACCTATATACTTCCCCACTGATGTGAATATTCCAAACAATAGTTTTGTTTTCAATGCAGATAATTTAGATATCGGACTAAAATGCATTCATTCTAATCTTTTTTTTGTTTGTTTGTTTGTTTGTTTTAGTTATCTTGATCCATGCATCTCTGAGATTGCGCAACATTAAAAACAGGCTAGAGAACAAAATTGAAGGCGTTGGGCTGAAGAAGACCCCAATGGGCATGCTGATGGATCTTCTTGACCAGCAGGAGGACAAGATTAACAAGATTCAAGATTTCTTTGAAAGTAAAGTGAAGGAGTAATCTTTAAGCAAGTTGAATGCCAAAGAAAGCAGGTGTATAAAGAAGGGTTCAAATGGTTAGAGCATTATCCTGAGAGTCAATATTTTCAGTCCTTGCACATGTAAAATTACTAATATTTACATTTCCCACTTTTGTTCCATTTTAGTTTTAGATCGTATGATAGTTCTAATAACCCTTACAATATTAACTGTACAGTTAAAGATTGCTGTGTGAGCAGAAAGATGTGAGTCGTATGACTTAAGTTTTTTTTTTTTTTATTGCTATGTGCAAAAATCCAAAATCGCCTCCCAAATTATGCGTGAAAACTAGAAAAATTAAGAAAAGAAAATGACTCCTAAACGCTTTATCCTTGTTTGTTACCTCAGATTTGCAATGTATAATGTCACTTAATAGGCCCATATTAAACTATAACTGAAATTACAGAGGCCCTAGAAGGTGTGCACAATCCTATAAACAAATCTATTATTAACCCAAGATTTTTTTTCCAATCCTCATTTGATATACATCCAGGAAAGTTCAACCCGAAAGCACATTTTGGTAGGAAAATATAGCAAAATAGAATAAAAGCTGTAATGTTATCCTCACATAAATATGTGCACCCTTGTTTTGAAACTTTAAAGTGTTCCATCTTCTTGGAGACACGTCAAACATAAGGGATTTAAAATATCTAATTGACCTGCTGTTCTTTTTATTTTTCTTATTTTTTAAACCCAGAAAAGCTAATAATGAGTCAGAATAAGTCATTTAACAGAGGTATTCATAAGGAAAGGAGCAAACACAAAAGGTCACATTGTAACATTTTCAGTCATAATTGAAAAAGTAATGTGAAAAGAGTGACACACATTAGAGAGTGGATATTAGTTCCAAAACTAACAAAGACAAAATGGGAAGTGGTCAGAAAGCTGCAGGAATATCTGTCAAGTACTGTTTGGGTTCTACAAGTCAGAACAACCTCCTCTATTCTCTATTTCTCTGGTCTACAGAGCATTTCTAATGTCTGGTATTTTCACAGAGCGTATTATATGATGAAACAGGATCCACAACTCATGGTCACACCATTTTTGGCCAAAGTGTTGAAATTATTTATCATGGAATAGATAAATAGTTGTTCTAAATCAGGAGTGTGTAGACATTGGAGAGCCACTGATTTAAAGCCACCTTAGTGGTTGTTTAATGGCAATCATGTTTGGAGGAGCTTTATAAATACTGATCTGAGACCAGTTTGTATCGTTGATAAATGCCCTTTTATTGCCTGACCAAATATAACAGAAATATTTCCTTTTTTTTCTCTGTTGTCAGTAAGTTGCCAAACTGACCTCAGTATATATATATCCTCTAATCGCAGCTATGCAATACTGAAAAATGAATGGCAAAAGTCTCTATTATATAACTATGAAGTCTGCATGTTGTATCTCAGTTTTTTTTTGTTTTGTTTTTTGTTTTTTTATATTAGCATAAAGAAAGCTTGAAATGGCAGCAACACCTGAATGAACACACCTTGTTCCCTTTTTTTACTGTCCGGTCCAATTAAGCCCGTCATCTGACACAAATTTATGATGTACTGCTTGTTTTGTTCTGTTGTTTTGCTTCTCAAAAATGCACTTTGAAGGCTATGCATGTTTTGTTTACAGAAGGCCTGAAGGAGAGATGCTACAAATGCAATTTTTATCTGTCTTTTTCATTATTTAAAATACTGTACACCAATGACATTTACTAGCACCAAAAATAAGTACTGTTTGTCTTGTGTAAATTGAATAATTTGCAGTCTTGGTGTGAATAAAGAGATATATAAACAAGTCTTGCTCTTGGTTTATACATCATATTTCAATATGTAAGTATCTGATTTACAGAAGCATTAAAAGATTTAACATTTATTTATGATAATCTAGATACTAAATTCAAGTCAATTTTTAGAGCTGGAATTTATCATTTATGTTAAGTTAAACCTACTTTCACTATCAGACTAAATTAGGGGAAAAATTGTAAAATAAGTAGATTTATCTTCCAAAGCAAGTAAATCTAATAAGAAAATAAAGATATGCCCAACTACATGTGTATTTTGCACGCATTCATACAATGCTGGTTTCATAGAAGAAAAAAAAATCCAGATGTTTCCTTTTCTTTCTTTTTTTACTAAGCAAATACATTCGATTTTTCACACTTTACGAAAGGCATTTTGCAGATCTTTTCACAATACAAGATTGACCTTTGTGTGCTTAACAGACATAATCCTTAAAGTATACAATTTTTTTTATTTTAGGATATTAAACTACTTTGAAAGGGTAAATATATTCAATAAGGTATGTTTTGTGGCTGAACATTAAATACATTCCATTAAGAGTTTATAAGGCTAACATTTCAGTGAAAAAGTACAGCTGAGAAACAAAAACTTCTTTTTTTTTCCTTGTGTGGCAATGATGCTTTTCACCCTTTTGGGCTGTGCAGGTAATTTACCAACATAAAGTATCAGTACAACAGACACACTCAACAGTGAGAACATAGCTGAGGTGGAGTCAGAGAAGACTTGTTTCACTTGATTCCAGGACTTTTGGGAGTGGCACCTGTGAGAAAAAAAAGAACAAATAGTTCACTTTTCTATGAAGGAATAATCTGGATTTTTTTTAATGATAGGTTTTGTAAAGATATAATCCCTCTCAGTTTGCTTTTTATTGCTATAGAAATAATCAAATTAGATTAAAAAAAATAAATCATCATTGTGGTGAAATCAAATAACACAGGATTGTGTTGCAAGAGAATCCTTTGAGAGAGGATATGGAAATACAGGAACGTACCATCTTTGTTTAGTTTGAACAAAATGATGGTGCAACCCTAAATCAAAAAGTTTGAACCACTTCTTGTGGACTTGGAGCTGAGTTTATAAGTTTGTATTACTGAGGTGTTTTTATGGAAATATGATTTTTTTCCTATCTGGCCATTTGATGTTGTTTGATTAGGAATATTTCCTTAAAATTGCCATAGCTCTGGGGTTTTCCACACTCTTCTAAGCAGCTCACAATACTGTTCAATAGGTAAGGAAACTAACAATGTCCTTGAACCTCACTTAAAATTATATATATACCTGTTCTTAAATTGTATGGAAACTGGATGAAATTATGTAGTGCCTGAAGATGACCCTATTATTTTCAGTTGAAAAAAGAAACTAAAGTAATAAACTTAAATACCTGTTCTCTATTCACAACAATAACTAACATGTGCTTCTGATCAACTTTCTCTATAGCCATATAGATTGGGGTACTCACAGATTTGAGATATGCCACATTGCTCTTTTTAATCTCATTTAGGAGCTCATCACGAGGTGTGAGATCAACTTTTGGAGGTTCTCTTCTGCGAGGGACGGGTTTCAAAGTCTTTATCACATCCTTTAGGTTGGCCTTTTCTTCCACTGTCTCTCTAGCTCCTCTGTCTTTTACTCTGGGAGTCTTTCTCAGTTGGAAACTTGGGTTCTCTGCTCTCCTGTCCTCCTTTGGGTCCAGGTCCAGGAAAGGATCCCGTTTCTTGGGAGTTCTCTTCAACTGAATGTCTTTTAATGGGTTTGCTGGTTCTGCACAAGGCTGTTTGGGAAAGCTGTTGCGTTTTGGATTCTTTTGTTGCTCTGGCTGCTTGTTCTGATGTGTCGTTTGAGCTACGGTGTTCTCTTCTGGTATGGTAGGGACAAGTCCATGCTCCTGTAGGAGCTCAAGTGGCGGTATATATCCCAACATCTCAAGCAAACCAGGAGGCAGATTGAGACTGTTCTCATACATTTGCATCATTTCTTTCTGCTCTTTGAGCTGCTGCTGCCTCTGTTCCTCCTTCCTCAGCTGCCTCTGACGGTCAAGGTTCCGCGTTAAGAGGTTGGTCACCACCATCCTGGGCCCAGGGAGCTCAAAGTGGTAGCCTATCTTCAGGAGGGTGTTGTTTGCCTTGAGCAGACGAGAGATCTCCATCTCTGCATGGTGACCTAACATGTGTCTCTGATTGTGAAAGCGCAGCTCTGTCAGAGTCTCATTGAACTGGAGGCAGCGGATAATGGCGACAATGCCCTTTCCAGTTATGAAGTTGGACTCAATATTCAAAGTTGTGATGCTGCGGTTTTCTCTAAGCATGTTAGCCAGGCTGAATGCAATGTTTTCATCAGCACCTGTGTTGGCTATGCTGAAGGTTTTTACATGTTTATTCTTTTTCAGGGCATTCACGTAGTCCAAAAGCATCTCCTTGGGAATGTTTTCAATGTTGTTCAGGTTTACCTCAGTGACAGAAGGATTGTTATTACGGATTTTGTCAAGAGTTGACTCCAAGTTTGTCTCGTTTCCTGATGGCCGTGATGTCATTTTGATATTATCAAAAGCCAACTTTGGAATTTTTAACTTGTTCACTTTTAGTGGCTCTCTTTTTGGAAAGTCATCATTGATTTCATTTGTATCTTGAGTCTCATGCGGGACAGAGCACTCTTTATTTACTTTCTCCTCTTTAGCTTCATTGTTAACCGAGGCTACCTTTGTGTCTGGAACAGACTGGCTGTCCACTTTGTTATTTTCAGCTGATTTTTCTAAGTTATTGGGAGGCTCTTCATCTTCATCTGCTTTTTCAGGTTTGAGTTTAAAATATACTTTCTCACTACTTTCATTGTTAAGGTCATTCACATTGTTCTTTTCCATCTCCCCTTCATCTTCTTCATATATTTCTTCAATTATCTCCTCAATGATTTCCACTCCATCTGGATAGTCAGCCCCATCTTCCTCAATAATTTCTTCAACCACTTCATAGACATATTTGGTATCTGAGTTCTCTTCTTTTTCTTTTTTTGCAGCCTCCTCCTGAAGGATTTTCTAAAAGAAACAAACCAAGACATTAAGCTTTGCAAAGGTATTTTCCTTCACTGACTTACATTTTACAACCTTACGGCTAAAGTAACCTACAAGGGTTTGAGCTCTTACCTCACTGGGCAGCAGGGTAGCAGGGACCCTTTCTTCTTCAAGCATACGTTTTGATTCTTTCTCCCAGTAGAGATAATCAACCAGCGATCTGTGGTCGAACGATCCTGTTGGAGGTTTCTCTGTCTGGTCCTTCTGTCTCTGTCCCACTGGTACAGTGTCATCTGGAGCAATAATGATGTCCATCTCACTCTGGAGCTCCTTTAGCTCCTCAGGTGAAAGCATTGCCAGGATTGCATCTTCATCAATGTCCTCCTCATTGAGATCCTCACAGTCTCTGATTTCAGACATACCTGCAATGTATTGATTCTTTCTGTAGCTGATGTTGAGGTGAGTAGTTTCTATTCAGTCCGGAGTTGAGCACAGAGCAAAGCGAGAAGCCTCTGACTTCAGCCTGAGATACGTTGCCTCATGTCTTGTCTAAATTTAAATGCTGTGAACCGTGTGGAAGATATTTAAAGTTGAAGCAGAGGAGAGACATGCAAACATTCCACCCAGCTGGCTCGGTCATGAGGATCTTTTGGGATGACAGCTGCTTCAAGTAAAGGAAAGCGGGGAAATGACAGCAGCAGGTGGTCCATTAACACAAGCCCAGTTTGATGACACTGGGGGAGGACTCCACAGCAAACAGACTCTCCTGGAACGCATGTGAAGGCATAACCTTTGGGGTGCTATATGACAAATTATAAACCAGAGAACATTGTTAGCCAAGAAACATTCCCTTTTTATTTTCCTTTTTTCCAAAGGTAGAGGTGAAATGTTAGATAAAGTTATGTTTTGTTTTAAAGGGTTAATGTCATGCAAGATCTAGATCGTTGGCCCTCTAATACATTTTGGTTTTTTATTGTGAGGCTCTTAGAGAGCAGAAAAGTTTATTTTTTTTCCCTCAAGGTGCATTGTAGATATTCTTTTTATTTCACATTTTTTCAATCTGGTTAGTTTTTGTATTTCCTTTTATGCTTTTCTGAACAGTTAACCTCACAGTATTTACTGTTTGCACAACTTCTAAATGACACCATAGAATTCCTGCTAACCAGTGTCACGGACGGATCCATCTTTTTATTTGTCAAAGCAAATTTGTTGCCAAAGCTCAGGTGGATAGGTAACAATGGTTGGTTGTTGGGTGTTTAAACCTACATAATTAATTTAATTAACTTCCATCTCTGCACTGCTATGAGCATATCTCAAACTACATAAATGGCCTTATTCGCCTGATCTGTAACCTGTGAGGGGGTTGAGTGTGAATTGCATTATTTGGAATTTCATAAGATGACACAACAAGTTGTTCAGACACACTTTAGAACAAGGGTAAAATGTTTTTTTTTTTTTTTTTTTTTTTTTTTTTGGGGGGGGGGGGGGGGGGGGGGTTGTTGTTTTTTGGAGCAATAATGAGGAACTTAAACCAAAGCATTGTAGTTTCAAAACTGAATGGTTGTCCTTTGTCATTTAGATATGCAGAAATAAAAACTCTTTGTGTCCTTTCAGCTGCTGCCATCAACACCTTTGTTTATAGATGTTGGAGATCGGCCTGTTTTTCAGTGTAGTCCTGTTTTTCTGACTGTGACTGGCTGAATGTGCTCTCATCATCCTCTGACATGGGAGTTGGCTCGCAGCTCGTTTGCCAGGCTGTGTGTTTCCTGGACGGGGCCGCATTTTACAGTTGCTTTTTGTATCTCTGCTTCTGTCTCCTTGAACCCCAGGTTGCCTCGGCAGATGGACGCTCACACTGAGCCTGGTTCTGCTGGAGGTTTCTCCCTGTTAAAAGGGAGTTTTTCCTCTCCACTGTCGCTACAAGCATGCTTAGTGTGCATTCGAGTCAAGGAGTTGATGCAATCAACTGGTTTTCATTAGTTAGAAAACTTTGAATCAGTTTGATTGTATGATCTGGTGAATTGTAAAGTGCCTTGAGATTACATGTTTTGTGAATTGTCGCTTTATAAATAAACTGAATTGAATTGCTCCCATATTCAACTCTCAACAGACTTGGCAAAGTTTTATATCTGGATGCTCTTCAAGATGCAACCAGCATAGGAACCTGTTACTTGGGCCCTTCACATTACAACCAAACTGCTTTATCATCAGGACTGATACTCTTGGATAACACGTTCATTGTATTAATCTGCTGTATTTTTGCAAAACAAACAAATGGATTCATCAGACAGTAGGAATGATCTTGTGGGGCTTCTGCTTCAAACTAATCTGTCTGGTTTTGGGAAATCCTCAATGCTAAAAGATTTCCAGCACTTCGGAGCAAAACTTGTAATGATGACAAGGCATGAATATTACATCAGATGTTGATTGCCACAGGCATATTAGCATGTCTGAGATATGAAATATGGAATGCTCACATTATCAAAGATGTTGAAAAAGTATGTTCTCTACTGACACAATTTCATACAATTTAGAGACCTGAAACCTCAGGAATCTTGATCAGTCTTACATTCACTATAGTTTAGGCAAATTACATTAGACTAAGAGATCTGTGACCAAACCATGCTGCCATTCAGTGGTAAAAAAAAAAAATGTTTGTTGTAATAAATAAGTTGCAAATCAACCTTATTGATGTGCTACTTATGTTAGGAGATGGATTAGGTTTTACCCCACTATTTCATTAATTTGAGATATTTTAAATGATTTTTCAGGTCAATATACAACACTTGTATGTGTACTGATGCTCTGTGGGGGCTTCTCCTCTTGAACATTCAGAGATGTACCGTGAGAGGATTGAATCATTTGTAGAATGAATTATGTGTCCCAGAGTGCTGCTTTACAGCAGTCGGAATACGAGAGCTAAGTAAGAAAAGACTAGCTGTGAAGCAACAAAACCTTACCTGATCAGATATATTTTAGGTCATATGATGTAGGATTGTAGAAGTATCTTTACAAGCAATTCAATTACTTCTTGGTCTGTTGAGTTTAACAATAATAAATTATTTTGTGATATGTACTGCGACATGTTCTCTGTATGACACATGAAAACTTGCCATGTGCGTTTGAGACCAGTAATGATGTTCATAAGACTGAAGGATGTCCAAATTCAGCACAGCAGTCCAGAGTTCCTCTCCTACCCTGAATTGTGTTGTTATGGTAAAACCCTCGAAAGGTGAAGAAATGAGCAAGGAACAGAAGCTTGACCTAATACGTAACCAGCCCTAAAAGTTACAGGTTTAACATTCTTATAGGCTTAAAGTTACACCGCATTGCTTTAAGACACTTTCTTCTAATTATTTTAAATGACACTGAAAAAAATATTTAAGTGTTTTAACTAGTGTTTGACTTGTGATGGCCCTTTCAAAAAATTAAACTGTCTTTAAAATATATAATTTTTTTTTACTTTTGGGTTATGTTCATTCTTTAAGCCGTTTCAGATTTTGTCTATGCTGTCATCTTGACCACAGCTCCTCAAATGAAGATATGCTGTATCTCAATAGGACTGTCCTGGCTAAATGAAGACCTAAATATTATTATAGAGGCAGGGCAGTGAGAAAGAGTCTAATAGTAGCCCTTCTAAGTTAGAGATAAGTCAACAATAGCAAAGTGTCAGGTTGTGTCGAGGTTTCTAGAGGGCGCAAATGCAGAGAAGGAAGTTGAAGTGGTTTCTTGCAGATTTAATAATCCAAAATTTGACAAGTGAGGCAAAAATAACAAAATAGAGAAAACCAGAAAACGTCAGTGAATAACACAAAATAGAAATGAAACCAATGAAAACGCAAAAAGAAAAGTTAAACAGAACCAAAACCAGGACACAAAGTTGTAGGAACTCTGGCGGGGACGCAGCCAGGCAAGTATGCCTCAAAATGTAGGTTTTTTTACTCCATGTGATAACACTCTGTTGTGTTTTCAGCAGATGCCAGATCTGATGGTGTGTGGTAGATTAATTAATGTGGTGTGCATTGATGGAGGCCCGGTGACAGACCAGCTTTCCAGTCTTGCCTTAGAGCATTAGATGCCGCTCCTGATATGCCCTTTCGCTTCTTATGTTCCCTCCTTGGATGATACGATGGTTAACTGCAAGTGTGAAGGCAACATTGACCAACTACTAAGACAGTGGTGTGCTTTTGTTTTTGACCAGCTTCTCAGAAACCTGTTGATTTTATAATCCAGTCCGTTGTGCTGGTACAGAAGCAGCCAATTTTGCTCCCACACAATGAAATACTGGCTTTGCTGCATGATTCTCTTTTGTTAGCTAACAGTCAGAGTTGTGACAGAGATGTTGAGGGTTGATTTTTTCTAAAATAAGCTAAAGTGGTCCTCTCTTCAGCAGAACACGTTCTCAAAAATTCATTCTCTTTTTTGCCTTCAGGACCCCGCTATGTAATGCCTCCCTGTAAAACAAACCGCTATGTAATTTTTTAAAATAATAACAGTCATTCAACTTTTAAATTCTATGTAGGGTGGCAGGTTTGTTTTTTTGTTTCGTAATTCTTCTAAAACAGATAACTGTGTTATCTTTTTACCATCTCTTTGTTTTTTTTAAACATTTTTAATGTTGTTCTTAAGCTCCCTGTCACATTTCTTTTTTTAATCATCTTATTTTTTATGTTATTAGATTTTTATTTTTGTTTGTTTGTCTCCTGTACTGCTCAAACGAATTCCCCCATGGGATTAATAAAGCGGTCTAAAGCGACATTTCGTTGTCAAGATTCACCTTGTGTTTTTTGTGCAATGACTAAGTCTAAAATTATATCTTTATTACCATAATTTTCTTGGAAAATAGAAACTGTTCCAAAATCTTCAACTATTTCTCAAGGACTTAATGACTCATTGACAATTAACCAAACCTGTTCAATACCAGTTCCTCTTGTCTTTAAAAACTGGCAACACCCATCTATGTATCACACATTTATTTATTCACCTCCAAATGAAAAATATTTTTATGACAATTTCTAACAAGAGAAAACTACACACTCACTGTACAAAACCGGGGGAAAATGAAGATGAGAAAATGTTTTTCATGGCAGTTTTTTTTTTTTTTTTTTTTGCTTTTTAAACAGAAACTGCACCAACATGACAGATGGATATATGACATAATAAAATGATACATTCTAATTCAACATGTAAAAAATTCTAATCCTAGGATATAATCAGCTGTTTTCAGGTCACAAATGTGAACATATTAGTTATTTTGATCATGAGATGGAGAGGATGATTGCTTTCCTTCTATAAACTACTGTTTTGTATAAGGCAGTAGCTAGTTCCTTTTAAAATATGGGGGACTGTTTTGTCGTTAATACACATTTAGGTTTGAATCCGGTTTAATTGTGCAACATCTTGACACATCCTCATCTGCCTGTTCAGTTCATCCAATCCAAGGCACATGGGGAAGCCATTCAAGAATGTCATCACGGTGTTCATAGCTGTCTTTAGCTTGAGGTCCCTGTGCACCTTTCTGCGCAAAATGTTAAGAAATGTTGCTATTTTCGTAGACTGCACTGGCAACAACAACAAGTTCTGTCTAAAGCTCCTTTCCCTCCATGTGCTGCTGGCTGTGGCTTGTTTGTGTCCATTGGTTCATTTTGGTCCTCTTCAGTGGATTCCCATGTAGCTCCCATCAAGATGAAATCTGAACAAGCAAGAAAAAAAGAAAAAGTCAGAACTACTGTTGTTCCAATGTTTTAAGATAAGAAATATCTAGAAGGCATTTTGGAGAAAAAATGAGATGGATGTGGAAATAAAATTCACCAAAATGTATGTTTATGGTAAATGGTAAGTGGCCTGCACTTAAATAGCACCTTTTCAAATCAGGAGACTTGACCAAAGCGCTTTACACTACATTCAGTTTAAAGGAAATATGTAACATTATCGCATTATGGTATAAAAAATAAAATAATTTTGTTCTGTCTGAAGGTTGTCAACTGCTAAATTGAAATTGCTATTTTATCCTATGACTCTGAGAAGGGTGTCACACCCAGGTTAGGAACAATTTACCTGCAAGTCCAAACAAAACCAGATCATTTATGATGTGGCTAGCGACCAGGGTAACTATAAACAACGCGGGCAAAATAAGTCCCTCTCTATTCTATGACATCAAAATCTAAAAATACATGTTTTAAGTTTTGTGCAGTGCCAGCATTATAAAATTTTGTCATATTTCCCATGTCAGGTCTGATATGTGATGCTTATCATCTCTCAGCATAGAACTTCAAGGTTACTTATTATTATCATTATGAGTGCTACACTGTTAAATAAACATCTACTAAATGCAAATATACTTTATTTTATTTAAGAAAAAACATTGTTCCAGACATAAGTGTGTAGTTAAAAGTAAACTTGGCAAGTGCATTAGGCCTTCATATCTTAGTTTTAATAAATGGCTATTTTACTATTAAAATTGAGCTTATAGTAAAAAAAAAAAAAAAAAACTGAAAATATATTTTAGTGCTACTTTGGCATTTGGACCATCTTAAAATAAAATAAAAAAACTTGATTCCTGCTATGTATTGAGGACCTGGACTAAAAATACAATCTAGTTCATGTCAGGAGGAGAAAAATCTCTAAAACTAAATATTATTAGTTCGAAACAGTGAAACGAATGTTTAGAGATGTATTCAGTTGCAGAGCAATTGAGGTAGCAATAGTGCATTAAATCTAATTTCTTATTACTGTATCTTGTTTTTTTTTCCCTCCGTATATATCTAATTAATAAATAGCTTAATAAAGAAATAAAAATTTCATTGTAAATGTAAAACTCAAGGGCTTGATGGTAAAACAAATACAGCAAACCATGATGTGAAAATGGAGTCTAATTTCACTAAAGGGCAAGACACATGAATGGTGAAATTATGTCAGAATGGTGATGACCAACATGACATAAACCGTCTCACCCTTAAGTGCTAGTTTGGTTGTCTGATGGTTCTTCTGTACTAGTGGCCTCAGCATCAACCACATCTACTGACTCAGATTTTTTAGTCTTTGTTTCAGACTCCTTGTTCTCAGAGGAAAATCTTCACATTCGAGAATTAATCATAAGCCAGGGAGGAAAAGAAGGCAGGAAGAGAAACAGATAACAAAACCTATAAGGAACAACTTATCTGCAGATCTGATTATTAAACCAGCAGAACACAATTCAAAAATAACCTGGGCTAAACAATGATAATCAGACATTGACTGATTGATTAGTGCTCAGAGCTACACTAAAATACGGTGCTCACCTGCTGTGTGTGGGACTGCGGTTGTACAAAGATGCTTGAGCTCCAGCAGGAGAGTATTGGGATACGTCAGGTGTATCAAACTCTGTCAGGCCGACGGCCAGCTGGTTGCGCCAGTTTCCTGCACTCTCTGCTGAGGACACTAAACAACAATTATAAAACACAAACACTCAGATGAAGCCGCAGCTTGACACAGCAGACGTTACAGTTTTTTTGGAGCACAACTCAGGCTGAAACGTACCTTTTATTCATATTTCTAACTACTCTGTAAATATAACAATCCAGTAGTAACTAATTAGACTCCATATTCAAGGTTTGATTGTTTATCTTATTCGCAGACCTACTGAAGGCTGAGTGGGAACATTTAAATTTAATCACAACGTGTAACATTATACAGTAGGTGTAAGGTGTCCGCAAATCTATATGAAGACAATTGTTATGAGAAAGATATTGAATTAAAATATTTTAACACATTTAAAGTTGCATGCTTGTCTACTAGTGATTCCTAGAGTCTTTAAAGCTCCTCCTGTGAACCAGACAGGGTGGAAAACACCCTTTCTACTTCTAGACAAGGTTTGACTGTGACACTGTCCTGGAGGGGGGTACCAGGTGGGCTATTGCTAGAAATAACTTTGGGTTTATTTTTGTCTTCTCTCTCTCCTCTACACATAAAGAAAATTTTTTATTAATTAGATTTAACAACCATGCCAGAATTTGTATGTTTAGCTATGCTTTCCTTTAATGTAGAGCAGGCATCCCCAAAGTCAGTCCTCGAGGGCCGCTGTCCTGCAGGTTTTAGAGGTTTCCCGGCTTTAGCACAGCTGATTCCGATGATTGCAGTTCAGCAAAAGCCTGTTAATTAACTATCAATGTAAATGAGCTGTGCTGGAGCAGGAAAACCTCTAAAACAGGGATCCCCAAAGTCGGTCCTCCAGGGCCGCTGTCCTGCAGGTTTTAGAGGTTTCTCTGCTTTAGCACAGGTGATTCTGATGATTGCTGTTCAGCAAAAGCCTTTTAATCTACTATCAATGTAAATAAGCTGTGCTGGAGCAGGGAAACCTCTAAAACCTGCAGGACAGCGGCCCTCGAGGACCGACTTTGGGGATGCCTGATGTAGAGAATAAAAATCCTGGAGTTGTGTTTCTTTTTTCTTTTTTTTTTTTGTTAATTATATAGAAAACATTTTATCCATCTGAAGTAAAAGATATATTTCTAGATGTACCATTGTTTAATAACTAAAATTGAACTGGAATGTGTTTAACTGACTTCTAAAACACTGAACTGAATGGACTGTATCTCTTTATACAAAATGGGGTTTCATAAAGTGCACAAATACAAGACTTGTTTAGATTTAGTCCTTTTTAAACAACTAAAGAGAATTTTGATTTAAAAATATACTTCATATTATTACTCAGCATTTTTAAAGAAGGTGGATCATAAAAATAACCGGTCCTTCTAATTGTCAATCATTCTGGTGATATGTTAACGTAAGGCCGTCCTACAACGTGCTCGTCCCCATTTTCACTTACCGGTAGTGAGTCTTAACTTAGTGGAAAAATATCCAATCTTCTTCTGGAAAGTAAGCTTGTATGAGCGATGCAAACTGCAACTTTTAAACAGAACATGCACTAGGAGAAATGGGCTTGTGCATGCTCTTGTTGTGTGTTTACTATTTATTTCCTCTCGGGATGTGCATGTGCATTTTTTCTTTAAATTGGAGAGGGGGCAAGCCTTTTCAAAAATTCGCAAAAATCCTCCCCTATAATTTTGAGGGTTCAAAGCAGACTCCAAATTGCTAATGCAATCTTCAAAAACCTTGACTAGGTTTTGTTGATCAGTAAAATGCCTTGAAGAACCTACTAAAAACACAGCTGCAGGGTGCTTGAACAAAATGTGAGTCCATCCGTCAAAAATTAAAGCTGAATGTTTATCGTAGAACTGGATTCTGCAACATTACAATGACTCAATGCATGCTTGTGTATTCACTAAGGACTGGCTGAGAATAAATGCAAAGTCATGGGCAAAGTCAAATCTAATTAAACCCCACCTTCAGAAGCTGTAGGGTGATTTAAAGCAATCTATGAAGGACAGCTCTCAAAAAGTGAGAATGACCAAGCTTTCTTCACTCCAGTAACAGAAACTAATAACAAGGTAAAAGTACATAATAAGGAGCATATTCTTAGAACAATTTTCAGGATATATATTTTGTTTAATGAATAATTCAGAATTAACTTTTGGAGTTGACTGTAGAAGAATTATTTTTCTTTTCTAGAGATAATTGTATGGATACCAATATATGGACATTTCATGGTATAAAAGATGCGTTTTGGTTTAGGGTTTTAAAAATTCTTAATTTTTAGAAGTTAACATATGGTACATTTTGTTAGAATTTGATAAATACACTCTATAAACTGAATAATTTAGGTTAAACATTGTGGATACTCTTCTACAAGCTTGTCACTATAGCTTGCTTCTGACAGGTGAATCTGATTTAGTGCTTTAGGCCCACCACTTGGTCACAACAACAAAAATTTTTGAAATATGAAAAAAATAAAACCATTTACCTGAGGAGAAAGAAGTAGCTCTACTTGAGTGGCTAAAGGCTGCTGGCATTGTTTGGTAGCCCAGGCTGAGCTGCGAGCCGCTGTCATAGTCATATCCAGCCATCAACCCTCTCCCACCCTCACGGTGGCCTTTGCTCCGGTGGTACCAGCCTCTCAGATGCTCAGCCACCAAGGCCTTATGCATGTTTTTAGCCAGGAGCTCATTTCTGGGGCCCTCTCTGTTCCTTGGCGGCCTCACCGTCGCATAAGGATTCTGTGAAAGACTATCTGCCCCATCACTACTGTAATGCCTGAACCTGTCATGTCCATGGTAGCCATTCATCTGGTAGGACGGGTTTACGTTGTAATGGCCTTCAACTTCATTCTCATATACATATGCCCCATTAGCATACGGCTCAATGTCCTGACAGGCGTAATTGGCAACATAGTAGGCACTAGGTGCATAGTGTGGTGAGGTCTCACATTGATAATTGCAGCCAGAATGGTGCTGGACCAAGTTGGGCATGCTTCCAGTGTTACCATACACTTCCACTTTTCTATGAAGACGATGCATCGTTAAGGTACGGGAGTCCAGAGTACTGTAGTGGGAGTTAGCTGCACCACAGTAGTCCAGGCTGGACTGGCTAGTGTAGGAGGAGCAATCCTCTAACACCTCTGTGCTGTTACTGCGATGGGATGGTGACAGGATAAAGACAGGCTTCTCAGGGTCTGTGGCATTTCGCAGCCGAGGCTGAGACTCCAGACTTCCACTGCGATGTCTGAAGCAATGAGGAGACCCTTCTGACCTGGAGAAAGATTACCAACTTTAATATGATTCCTAAAATAGGAAGATATTTAATGATTTAGGCGGAAAATGTTATGAGAAGAGTTAGGAAAGAAGAGGGGATACAAGTTAGAGAAATTATGACTGGAAGGAATGTTACATGCACAGCATCAAAGACCAGACCTGAGCTGGCTGCTGCTGTAGGCGTTACGGGTCATAACTGGGGTGGGAGGCATGCTGCGTGGATCTCTGGGAGGCCTAGGAAGTGTTTTATAGGGGCTGCTGTTGGTGGATGAGACCTCTCTTTGATTCTGGTAGGAATGGGGAACCTCTAGGCCATCAAAGCCTAATCTGAAAAGGTACAGTGTTAAAAAAAAAAAAGAAGGATATGAGGTGGGAAAAAGAATGAGGCTGCAAACAAGATGCAACAAACCTTCAAACATCTGCCAGAAGAAACAGTCAGCATCTATTCAAGTAATAACTTGTGAAACTACTTAAACCTAAAAAAAAATGTTTTGTCTTTTAGGTTTTGTCATAGCTAGGGTGAAGTTCCAAGCATTTTTGGTGTTTGGCAATGTCTGCGTATATAATGTAATCAGGGACTAAGGGTCTTGCTCAGAGACTCAGAGTGGCCCTTTGTGGGAGTGGGTTTCAGACTCACAACCTCAGGAATCCAAGCTCTATGCCCTAACCACAAATTTTCCACTCCCCACTTAATATAAGTATATAATTTAAGTTCCCATGCAGACTGGACTCCCCAAGAAATAAGGCATTGTTAGAGCCCTTGTTGGTCTGGATCACTGAAAGCTGTTTGGTCAAATGCAAGAAACTGACAATTGGAATTGTATGTTTATAAAAAATAAAATCTGAAGCCTTCTCTTTTTAAAATTGGTTTGTGTTTGACATAAATGTCTTCCTTGAATTCCTTCTCAAACCATCTATTTTCTTTGTCCAATATATTAACGCAGTGGTCTTTAAAACAGTTTGACGAGCTGCTCTCCTATGCTGATTCATGCATATGTGGAGTTCGGTTAATTTGGTTAGGTCACTTTGTATTGGGAGAAATGCTTCTGTGTTCTACCAACAAATGAGATGGCTGTTTTTGAGTTGTTTCTTTTCCTAAAAAAAAGCAAAAATAACCAAACCTTTCCTAAGGAAAGTACTTCTGATGAAAGATGAATTGCATTCAGCTACAAAAACTACATTCCAGTTACTATCTCCTGGAAGATTGTTCATCTTCCCCAGCATAGTTAAACCTAATTTAAACAAAAACAGAAAACAAACTGTGATCAATATTTTTCTACCTACCTGCTATGGCCCTTGTGATTGTTTCCTGGAGAAGATCCCTGTCTCTCCACATCGTATTCTGTTCCAAGTGATCGCAATGGACTGAGCTGAGGGGAACCTTGGACTGACCGTGAACGTGGCCTTTGACCTGCGCCGTCAGAGTCATCTACAAACACACAGTTAAACATTATACTATTAACATCAGTATTTTCCATGCAGTATTAAATTGTGTATAATTTGATATTAGTTTTTTCAATGAGTCAATGTCCATCCATCCATCCATCCATCCATCCATCCATCCATCCATCCATCCATCCATCCATCCATCCATCCATCTATCCATCCATCCATCCATTCATCCAACCATACATACATACATACATACATACATACATACATACATACATACATACATACATACATACATACATACATACATACATACATACATACATACATACATACATACATACATACATACATACATACATACATACATACATACATACATACATGAAGGCATCCATACATACATACACTCGTCCAGAATGTAGACATAAGTGATCTAATTGTTTTTTTTGTTTGTTTTTTGCATTCAAAAAATTTGATCAAACTTTTTGAAATGTCTTAAACCCCAACACGGTGCCCACGGCCACCAAGGGGCCCGCAAGGACCACATGGGGTGCCCTCAGAGTCTTCTTAAAAATAGAGCAACTCCCAGTGGGCTGTGTTTGAAATGTTATTGTATTCTGTTGCTCTTCTTGTTTAAATCTTTTATAGATAATTTCATCATATTAATGGTATATGAAATTTAAGCATTTATAGATTTCAAAATGAAAATGTCTAAAAGAAATTTGGAAGTTAACAGAAACAATAAAAATATGTTCATAATATACAAAGTTTTGGTGAACGCTGACCCTTGCAGTTCATGGGTCACCTTAAAGTAGCCCTCATCCGTAAAAAGGTTGGTGACCCCTGACATAAAGCATGTGCAGCAAGCCTGTCAGTATCATAGCAAATATGATGAAAATGTATCAAATTGCTCACCATCATCCAGTGGGAGACTCGATAGAGAGCTGCAGTTGGACCTGGCAAGCTCATCTGCAGAGACAGAAAATAAATTGATATACTTTGCAAATGTAGATTACTCATCACTATTAAATGTGTCAGCCTGCACCAAACCTGCAATAATCACAGAGGCGCGCTGCGTGGGCTTTTTCCCCTTCTTGATTCTATATTGGTTCATCTCATCCTCTATCTGCTGGAGTTTGTGCATAGCATCCAGACAGTTTCTCCTTCTTTTTTTCTTGACTGTTTTGCACAACTCAGACTCATTGGCGAGCTTCTTAGCCGCCTCAACGATCTTTCGCTGGAGAGCAAATCTGCTCTCAAGATTCCTCAAAAAGGGATCCTACAAAAAAAAAAAAAAACACTAAATATCTTTATCTTTAGCTAAATTAATCTAATAGATCCATTACTGTTATTTGGAATATTTTTGGTGCGGTCCTAAACATTGGAAGTAATCTTAAGGGTTGTCTTTCTTATCAGAATAGTGAATTATCCTCTTTATCTTAAATTATTTTCACTGAAAAACTAGTGTGGGTGTGTGCGTAATTCAAACAAATATGTAAAATTTAACAAACTGGCTAAGGTGAATTTAAGTAAGATGGGTCCAAAGGATAAACACATGTTTCTCTTTGTTTACAGTGCCCCAATAAAATACAGACCTCATGGTAGGGGAAAAGGTCATCCAATTTAAAAGCAGTGCCAACGCGCCGCCTGACCTGTGGTGGTCTTTCACCTGAGGAGAGGGGGTATTCTTTTGGCAGCTTTCCAGTCAGTTCCTAAATAAAAACCAGACAGAGTTTTATACTATAATGCAGCGCAAGTCGACACATAGAAAATCAACTCACCTGTGCAATAACTATGATTTAATAAAAAGAGCTGAGCAGAGAAAAAAAATGCTTCATTGTTTGAATGCAGCAGTACCGTAATAGAAAAAAAGGATTTCTCACCGCTTCTCTGAGGCAAATCTTCTTCAGCTCTTTTGTTTTCTTAGCCAAAATTTCCTGGAGCTCCTGCTCTTTTTTTCTCAGCTCAGATAGTTTTTCTTTCTTCTGTTCTTCACTCATTTCAGAGTCTGCAGAACCTGCAGATGAAAATAGTACTGTAACCCATGCTGACTTATATGTGTCATATCCTCTCCCTGATTATCTGGTCTGGCAGGGTGTGTAGAGTTCAACTCACTGAGTGGAATAGTTCTCTTGGATTTGGGTGCAAAAGTTAGTTCAATTTTAACATCTCATTCCACATGTCAGTGTAGTCCTAGGCAAACATTTTAACCTTAAGTTGCTTACTGCACTGTATAGTGTTAATAAAAAAAAGTGCAATATAAAAGGATTTAATTAACCTTTACTGTATTTTCTGATTTTTTTTAAACTATTCAGAACAACGTTTAACGTAAAACATAATTAGCAAAATAATTGCTTGGATTTCATATACTTTTTGGGTTGCTTTTGTATGGTAACGTTATTCTACTACTGTACATAAAAACTCAATGGATTTAAAATAAAGCATCTAATACATTTTAACTTACTGTATTGTTTGATGTTCTTTTATTCAAAAAGGTTTAAATACAGCTGCATTGATTTGGGGTCAAGTGGAAAGGGTAGGCCCTCATTATTCCCATCCATTTTATTGAGCCATACTACTGGCATCTATACAACCTCAGCAGGATGTGATCGACCCTATGATTGATGGTCGGTATAGTGGTTTTAATGTTTATACACCTTACTTTCACTCCCCTAAAAATACTTGTATCCATTGTACCCATAGAGCTAGAATTAGCCTACATGTACTGCACTACTGGCCAAAATGTGAATACATTCTCTTATTTAGTAGTTGTCTGTACTATGTATCTGGAGTGTATAAAGTAAGAAAACTAAGAAATAGCTATATAATTTGTTGTATAGCAGTTCACCTTGAAAAATGAATTGTCTACCCTAATCAGTTATAACTCTGATTAAATTTGTCCAGTTTCCCTGCCATTAATGAGGTCACGCAAACCTCAGACCTGATTTGTATTTCCCCCCCATATGTATAAACTTGTATTGCCCATGACTAAATTCAATAATACAAACCTGTAGACACCAGGCTTCCATTGCTAGCTGTTATACAGTTATTTTTCAGCCCCACATCTCCTAGTCTGTTCATTTTCGCTCCTCCGTGTTCAGTGAGCTCCATGGCGATTTCTTCCAAACTTCTAGCTGTTCCTAGTTTTGCCTTCAGAAATGAAGAGGACATTTGAAATGGAAAAAAATGTAAACAAAGCAAATAAATGGTTCTAAAAAATGTTAATATCTCATAACAGCTTCTTACTTTGCTTTGTTTTCTGTCCAAGTAAAACTGATGCTGACTAATGGCCATTACCCATATGGTCTTGATTAAAGAATGGCTGGCATACCATGTGTGGATTAGTAGCCCTGTCTGCCCAAACGTACGTTTTGTTACTGCTCTCCTACAATAAGTCCAAAAAACAAAATGAAAATTTTAAGCCAACTTTGCTGGAAATTCTGAAAAAGGAAAATTTCTTTACATTGGTAATTATTTGACACATGCAGAAAATATTGATCAGTCTGAGGCCAATCAAAAGTGTGAGTAATGTATGTCTTATCAACCTGAACAAACATTTCAATGAATCTGCTCACCTGTGTGGATCATTAACTTCTACAGCAAACTTTTTCTCACGGAAGTACAAGTTTTCCAGCTGTTTCCACTGGTAGAGCTGTAAGAAAAAAACAATGTGTGACCCGGAAGATATTATATTATACATATTTATACATATATTCTGGCTCACTTCACAACAAGTTTAGAGTTTAAACTCTACTAGTGTAGATCACTGGTGTTAAACATTCTAGTGAATAGAAAATGCACACAAAATAGTTGGTGCTTGGGCTGTTTCCCTCCCAGTCATTACAAGAAGCCAGACTCCATCATGAGCTATCATTACGCTATGAGCTGCCAAGTCTGCACTGGTGCAGGTGTTTGGGTGAGACAAACGCCACAAGGGAGCATTACAGGAAGATTCATGGCCAACACAGCCACTCTCCGTGGCTCATCATGTCCAACCTCTTGTCAACCAGGTGCTCACTGTCAGATCTGAACAGCCCATTAGGGTCGCTGACTCACTGCATGTCTCAGCCAAACCTGAATTAAATACTTTCTAAACAGCAAAGCGTTTGCAGGTTATTTTCCACCCAAATTTGCCTAAAGAATAATCTAGTACACAGATAGAGTTCATATATTTTCAAAGACAGAATTTGTGCAAGATTAGGTCATAAGATAACAAAAACATTGTGATTTTCTGTCTTACCAGTAAAGCAGAAGTTCAGGGTAAATTTTCAAAAAAGATTAAATCCATCGCTTCTCTGTCAGCCTGAATACATTCTTCACTCTGGCTCTTGTCAGCTCCTGACTTGTCTTTTCAGGTATTCTCTGAAGATTCATAATAAATGCCCCAAGCCCAGCCCTCTTTTCTCTTCAACATCACTCCCTCACTCCCTCCTCTTTTCTAAAGCATGCTGTTTAGCTGATTTCTTGCACAACTTTGAAATGCACCAGCCAGAGATTTCTTCATGCAGAGCAATAGAGTTTTAAAAGGAGGAAAAAAAGGAAGTGGACAACATAGCTGAAGGATAACTCAGGCGGGTGTTTCTCATGTCTGCTCACAGATCAAAATACTATTAATGAAGCAGGAAAAGCAAGTTCTTTCTGTTAGTATGATTCTCCATTTCGTTTTGAAACTCACAGGGTTCAATGAAAGGAGCTGACAGATTCTTTTAGGTTACGAACTAGCTTCAAGTCTGGCCTCGTCTGCTTCAGTTCAGGCCAAGATTTCGCGGAACTAAAAAACATGACGTATGAATCTCAGCTTGTGAATCACCTCACTCTTTTGCAACAGCAGCAATCCTCACTCCTGCTCTATGCCACCATCACACCCAGATTGATATGTGAGGCAGAAACAAAGGTTTCAGCAGCCAAGCTTACCTTACGAGGTTTTAATTTGTCCTGCAGATCATACTGACCGATGCCCTTATAGCTTATTCCCAGCCACCAAGGGATCCCTTGTTTATCCTATCAGGAACGAAATACAGATTAATTCTACTGAAGGTGTAACACTTGTGATTTTCAATGAGTCACGAAAGAGGACCAACCTTAACCTCATAATAATGAACCCCATAAGTTGGCAACGACTCCACTAATGTCAAATACCTGAAAGAAAATTGAAAGCATAAGTCAGTATATATATGTTTGTGAAAACCCATTTTGTCACATTCACAATCATAAAACCTTATCAATCTTTTACAGATTTTATGAGAGAGAAAAATGAAAATATTTGTAGAAGTAGCAGAAGAAGAAGAGGGTTACTCCTAAACAGAAGTTAAAATATGAGAAGTTTGATGTGCATTTGTTCTAAATCCAGCCCTAGATTAACCATTTGTAGAACCAATTTTCTTTCATTCACTTAAGAGGACCGTTTTTTCCCCCCCCCTTTTTTTTTAACCTCTGTTCCTCTTTACATGACTGCAGCAGCCTAAGCAAACGGGGTGGGGTGAATGAAATGGTTAAATTTTTCCACCGATTCTCATTTGGATTTAAGTCCAGACGTTGATTGAGTCATTCTAACTCATCAGTATTCTTTGACCTAGGTTAAATCACTTTAGCTTAGGGTTGATTTTTTCAGTGGTTGTCCTGGTGGACGATCTGATGATCTTTCCTTCAACTCTGATCAGCTTCACTGTCATTGGTAAAGGGAAATTAACCCCATATGATGCTGGCATCATATTTCAAGGTAGGGCTTCTGACTAACTTATAATAACTAAATACAATCTTTTTATCTGAGGGTATTATGATTCTCCCCACGTGGACTTCTGTTTGAGTTTCTTTTTAATTTTCAGTTCCACTTTGATTTATGTTAGTCTGTATTTTCTTGTTCATTGGTCTCTTTTCTATTTTGTGTTATATCTATGCAGTTTTGTATTTCTTGAATTACTCTCTGTTGCCCCCTTGTGCATGTCTCTTTTCCCCTAGCTCCCTTCTAGTCTTTTCTATCCACACCTGCTCCATATCAGCTGATTACCCCAGTCTTTGTTCTGTCTCCCATATATACTCTCACTGTGCAGTTCTTCAGTGCTGTTTCTTTTTTAGTTATTTTAAAAACAGACAAAAAGAAAAACAAAATCCCCTCAGCGGAGGTAAAAATCAGCATATGACTGAATGTACTCCTAATGTTTCTCCCTAGCAGGGATAAATTAACTGATTATAGAAATAAAACTGGCTTAGGAATAGTGTCTCCTGATGATAAAACTTAGCCATAAATTAGTTAGTATTGCAGCATCAAAACCTTTAAACATATGTTATCAACATCCTCATCCTTATTTTGACTTTCTTATTGTTAAATATACTCACTATACTGCCATTTCTAATACTTCTTTTATCTGACATTAAGTGCCTTTTATTTGGTTTATCTGCTCATATAAAGTAGTTTCATTTGACCAAATGACCATAACATAGAGGAAACGGAGAAGCAGTGCCTGATGTTTCCACTATAGAGTTGTCAGCATAGTGCTTAAACGAAAACGTTATCCCGGGAGCATGGAGCAAGCAAAGAAGCAGATTTGGGAATGTAAAGCCAAGTTGATCGATGCATCTTGTCCTCTAGTTTTAAGAACAGCCTGGATTGTGAAAAGAACGGGCACAGTGCTGCAGAAAAAGGCAAGAAATGAGATGCCAGCACACAAGAAAACTTACTGTATGCCAATGAACATTATCTTGTAGGATGCAGCAAATGCATATTCACCTCTTTTACATATTCCTTTAATGCCTATATGTGTCTATTATCTACATTATCTTGTCTAAATACTGCCTTTTTTATGTTTTTTTGTAATTTTTCCAACACTTTATAATATTTATACTATGAACATTTAAAGTATGTACAATTACTCTATATTATATTGTTTGTCCATTATCTGACCCTTTATTTATGGTTATTAAATGAATTTTCATTTTATCTTTTAATGAAATTATGTTTCTAGAGGTACCAATATAGCTGCTGAAATTGAATGAAATGAAATGAAAATGTTTCTCCTATCAGGGTTCCAAAGTTTACACTGCCACCTAATATTAAACAATGTGTGGTTCTTAATGACCTAATTTTCTTATTGAGAAAGCCAAACAGCTTTCTCTATTTCCTCCAGTTTTCTCATTTCAGACACTCTCCAGCTCACTAATGATTCTCATTGTTACTATTTCTTCTCTTTAGGAACTCTCTGAAGGAGGTTTTGAACCATCTTAACTTGGTAAAATTCTAAATATAACCAGGATCTCTATGACTTTCCTTAAGATGACATCACCAGTGGGTGTTTTCAGTCTTAGGATTCTTTGTGAATATAGGGCCTCATTTTTAAAGCACACATTTAAAAGTTTCTTATCAAGAGATTCCTCTAAGCTGTGGATCTCAGCTCCCCCAGAGTTACCATGGAGCTCTTATCTTCATGTCTGAATAAGACCTTTTTGCTGGGCCTCAAGTTTGGTAAGTTAGCAGTTGTGCCATTATGCCATTACTTGATGATAAATCAGAACATTTTAATATACTTCTTTGCTGTTTTACATCCAATTCTAGTAAAACATGAAATACAATAGCAATATTTTGTGCTAGAAGATTACAAAACCAAAGTGCACTATTTAACACTTACTGCACAATAGCCTGTCCCCTAGAAACACCTTTCAGCTGCTTATAATATTCGATAACTCGATCCTCACTGCAGAAAAGAAAAAAAAAAAGAGTAGAAGTAGGGAGTAGCATTGCTGTTAGGGTATACCACATTTCATAAAAAACTCTTCTATTGACAGAGCATAAAAATTCCTAAAAAAAAAACAAAAGATTGAATACGAATACGTAGCTTAGAAATATAACTTATCGAATCAAGTAAAAAATGTATATCTTAATTTTCCCACAATATAATTCAAAATGACTGTGCCACCACATTAACAACAATAAATGAATGCATTTCAAGCTTAATACAGTACTAGTTTTACCTAAAAGATGATACAAAGTCAGATTTATAGAAATATTTCCTTGAAAGCCTACCAGAAAGCTAGAGACGGATGCTCTTTGAGGACTTTGGTGGGGAGAGTTGGTAGCTTCTTCAGATCAGCTCTGGTGTTTTCATCACTGAAACAAGCCAGTAAAACAGCTGAGACACATTTGTTTGCTGAATTGGTAAACAATGACCTTAAGACGTTTTTGAGTAGTACACAATAAGATCAAATAAAATGTCATGTTTTCTTTAAAAACAAGCAATATTTCTTTACATTTTGGGTCCAATAATGTTGTTTTTAAGGATATTTTTATTGTCTCTCATTACTTTAAAATAATGTAGCACCATTAAAGTTATAAGACTCAGCACTTTGTAGACAAAACAGTTAAGAAACTATAGATTTGTGTAAATGGCAGTTGTATGTAGTTATACAGCACCTTTTCAAGCAGAGGACTCTAGAGAGCACACATTAAGGCAGAGTGGTGACCTAATGGTTAGGGCATAAAGCTTGGAATCCCCAGGTTCTGAGTTTGGTCCCCATTCCCACAGCCTGCCACTCTGGGTCGCCACACTGCTCCCTGGGTGCCTCATGTTGGCAGCCCTCTGCTCCCCAAGGGGGGGATGGGTTAAATGCAGAGGTAAATTTCTCCAGTGTGAGATCAGTAAAGTTCAATTATTATTATATTATTATCATTGACACTCTGAGTGTGACAATCTACATTATAGCCACACTGACTGAGGCTGCAGTACACAGACCTTCTGAACAACATCAGTGCAGTGCAGGAAGAATTTGTTGCCTAGGTATACGACTGAGAAGGACGGTTGTGTAATAAGAATAAAATATCAATATTAACTGGCACCCTTAAAAAAACTTTAAAAAATGTATTCTTTCAAGTAATTTCCCTCTGGGATTATTAAATGTCTGATGTCTGATTGACGGTTGAAGCCCCGACTCCGATTTTCAGTGTCGTTGTGTCCTTGGGCAAGATGCTTCACCTGCATTGTCTACTGATGGTGGTCAGAGGGCCCGGTGGCGCCAATGTACGGCAGCCCCGCTTCTGTCAGTGAGCCCCAGGGCAGCTGTGGCTACAATGTAGCTTGCCACCATCAGTGTGTGAGTGCGTGCGTGAATGGGTGAATGAATGTAGTGTAAAGCGCTTTGGTCAAGTCTCCTGACTTGAGTAAGGGCGCTATATAAGTACATGCCATTTACCATTTACCATTTGATGTTGATGTTTGAATATGAAATATAGCTTAAATAGTATTTAAGCATGAATTTTTCTGAATGACTATATAACGTTATGCTAATGAGCTTTAGTCCTATTGTATTGGTCCAGTCTGCTGTGTTTCAAAGCTGCCATAATTGTATTTCAAAATTTTCTTATGATTTAAACTTGATTAAAAAAAAATTCAAAGAAGGTCTCAGAATTATCCTTATCATAATTCTCATGTGAATCCCCTACCAGCCTATGCCTATTTGCAGTTTTATTATTTGTAGGTGTTTTATTGAAATGACTCTGACGCATCTTTACACCTCTGTTAACATTTTCCTTCCAGTTAATCCACTGTGCTGCCTAGATTTCTGGTCCAACAAACATATACACTTTTTGTGATACATCTTTTCATACTAATGGGAGACTAAAATAAGTGATTTAAAAAAAAAATTTAGGAGCTTACTTATTGTTTTGGACATCCAATCGATTCTAAGAATTTGTGAGGTTTTAGGAGCTTTGTGTTAAACAGCTTCCCTCTCTAACATCACTAAAAGGTGAAGGTGCAACATCGTAACATTAAAGTTCAAGATAACTTAACTGATGATGTCAATATATATTACCCTAAAAAGCAGGGTTTGGCAGGGATGCTCTGATATTTTCTAAAATTATGAAATACTAACGTGCACAGCAAATATCAAGGCAACCCTATCTCTATAATACATAAAGGATATGTTTCCAAGAGAAGAGACTAAATGAATAAAAAAAATAGACAAACTATTTTGTGTTTGCAGCTGGTCAGACGCAGGTAGTAATATCCAAATTGCCTGCAGTACATCTCCGAACACAGTATGCATGGTGCATTATTTAAACATGGCCTAAAACAGCTCCGTTCATCAGAAAGGTGTCTCTGCATCCTTGACATCATCACTGCATTGTAAGATTCATTAGCTGTCTGGTGCAAGCTTCACAGCAGTCTGTGGTGAGGCTCACAGAGTACCACTATTGATTTTTGTTGTCTGAGCTGGTGAAACAAGTGACCTATTGAGTAATGTTGTTTTAAAGCTCACTATTAACTCATGTAGTTAAATACTTCTACACATCATTTGCTCTTACCTTGTATAATCTCCTTTAGCCTCCTGGTAATAAAACAAAGCACATTATATTAGATAATATCCTTAATATACAGCAGTAATAATTAATAAGGGATCATTAATAGTACTAACCTGCAATGCATTAGCAGCCAACCTAAAAACATTCTCAGTTTCCACTTCAATGATCCCCTGAGAATAAAATAAATAAAAAGTAAGGAATATGTACAGAAAATTATGATTAGTTGAATCCAAACATTCCCTGCCCAGCGTTGCTCTAATCTCTGCCCATTTTTGAATCAAAACTGGTGTTTTTTCTGCTTTCACACAATGTGCACTTTTCATTCCAGCCAGCAGAGTGAGAAAATTGTGTCCTGAGGTGCAGGATTCAGAGACAGTGAATCATCATGCAGCTGCTACAAAACATCTGTAGCAGAGGATGGCTTTCATTCCCAGAAATCACAAACAAAGTAATAAAATAAAACACTTACATTGTAGACAGCTGATTTCGCATTCAGATAGAATAATTCTACCGTTATGATGTCCTTTAGCTGGGTTATGTTTTCCACATAAAATCTGTTGAAGATGACAGCACAGATGATCTGCTATAGTTACTGACAGAAATGGATTGTGCAAATATGTAATTTGTTCTTACTCATCTTGAACATTTTGCCACATTAAATCCACAAACCTCAAAGTATTTAGATTGGATTTTATGTAAAAGATCCACACATAGTAGTGAAAATTATAAAAGTGAACCAAAATGGTAAATGTTTTTACAAAAAATAAATAGAGATATCTAGTAAGAATAAAATCATACATTAAAAATCATCCATATTAATGTTGAGAACATCCATATCTTATCAACTCAATTGAAATCCTAATTTTATGCTCTTATAATCCATTAAAACCAGTTATTTCACTCTGAACCTGCTTTTGGTTCCCCTTATCCCAAAAGGTTGAAAACATTAGTGAACAAACATCATACAAATATAATAGGCAGCTTAAAGATAAGGTTAATCTCCTAAACTTCAGGAATCTAAATGTAAACTCCAAAGAGTCTGGAGAAAACAGTGAACCTAAGAATCCAAATCAACATCAGCATCTTAAATGGGGGAATACTTTACTATAAAAAAATTCTTGTGAATGAAAGAAAAAGAAAGTTCTATTTCAAGGTCTCAAGCCATTTAGGGGACAGTTCACACCACCCTAATGATGTTTTCAGAGTTACACAACATCATACTATGGAGGTACTGATAAAGGACAGATAAGCAGGTATGAACTTATGGGAAGATGGATACATGGAGAAGACTACATTTTTATGGGGCATATGAGACTAGAGACAAAGGTAAACTAAACCTTCCAGCAGGACAACGCAAAACATGATTGAAGATCAAAGCACAGTCATGTTTTACAATGAGAAAGAATTTGAGAGCTATAGCAAATTTGCAATAACTCTCTCCCTGTAATCTGAGCTACAGCTATTCCCAAATGGATAAAATAAAATAAAAAAAAATAATCAATAGAAATTTATTCCAAACTTAAATTTTATATGTCAAAAGCTTTAAACAATGCCTAATTTTCCTTGTTAAATATATTGTCTATCACATAAAAGCACTTTAAACTACCTTAAAGTTTCTGACTAGTGCTCCCTGCTGGTGAGTCAGAAGATTACACGAAAAGATGAGTAACAGTATTACATACCTGACCAGGAAATTCAGGGAAATGACTGCAGGTTTCTTAGAAAAATCATGTTCAAGAACCCTTCGATCCATCTGCAGCCATTTACACTGACCACTGTGAATACAAACATTCACAAACACTCAGAAAAGCATACCAATGCAAATCTTATCATTTGAATTGTAGAAAATAAGAGCATTGTTAACATACTTCTCATCAAAAAATGCAAGTCCAAAGAATTCCTTTTCTTTGAGGTTGAAGTGGGAGGACACCAAGTCGAGGAGCTCATATGATAGGAGCTTTGGCTGTGATGGAAAAATTTAGATTAAAATGAATATAGTTAAAACATCCTTGATCCAGCATACAGTCAGGCTGAAACATCGCTGTTTAGTCACTCCAAAAGAGGAGTGTGATGGTAGTTCTCCTCTTCATACTGTGACTGAGATCTAGTAATATAGACTGAAGGAGAACAGTTCCTTTGTGACTCAGACACATGGATCTTATGTGATACAAGTAGTACAAGATGCAGATTGTGTATCTTTTCTGTTAGTCAGGGGAAATTTTGGTGTAAACTGCAAGATGTATCCTTGTATCGATCATACGGTTCGGATGAAATGCACAGGAGAATATTTCAAGAATCCCTTATGAAGTAAACAATTAAGATATTTTTGGTAAGCTGTAATCCATTTGCTACTGAAAAGATATAAAAAAAATATAAAATAAACAATTAAGTTAAAAATAATTATCAAAATTTGTTGAAAAAGTATTTCTCCTCAAATATTTGATGTTTTACATCATATGAAGGTTGCACTGTGGGGCAAATAAAGTGCAAATAAACTGCTTGTTATTCATATATATATATATATAAAATATATATATAGCTGTATCATACCTGAACCAGCAGCTCAAGCTTTCTTTCATCCAGCAGATGAACCTGGCACAGTTTACCTTCAGTCATCTGTAAGGGGAGCAGAAGAAGGACAAGTCTAGTGGCAGATTTCGAGTATTTCATAACCAAACATGATAGGTACATGGTGTTGTCGCTCGTTCATTTCTGTCAAAGAACATCAGAGACAACCTAGAATGTCTAAAACGAGTTGTGCTATCTAGAAAGTGCTACTAAAAATGTGGTTCCTTTTTTTATTTTGTACTTTTTGTACCAGTGTTGGTCTTTCATACATGTTCTGGGGGCATTTTCTTTCAGCAAAACCATTAAGTATCAGGATAAATAAACTTAATCACAATAATTTAGTATATGTTTATGCAGATAATTCAGAATAACTCAAGTCATTACAGTTGGAAAAGAAATGGAAGTCCAACAGGGTGAACTGATCCAGAGTTGCAGACATAGGGAAAGGTTACTTTCAGCTACTAAATGACCCATTCGTTTGTGGTCAGATTTAAAAATGTGTTAATGACAGTAAAGCCATTGTGCTGAGGATTTGTTGCTGTGGTAACACAAAGGAAGGATTTGACATTTTTGCTTTTAGCCTCTTTACAGTATTGGGTGGTACAAGTTGGTTTTATTTCTCTACCACTACAGGCTACTTCATAAACTGCCTTTTTCAGCTCTTTCAGTGGGTCCTTTAGAGTGCAGTTTGTGCAAATTAGAACACAATTGTCTTGCATTTATTCCCTATTTAACCTTTTTTTGCATAATAAAAACCATTATTTCAAGAAAGTGAAGGTGAAATATAGTAATAGTCCAAATAAAGCCTTGTCAACATACTTTTTATCCAGATTTTGCTGATTTATTATAAAACAAATTGCTGCACAAAAACATATCTTAAAGTTCTGGATATTTCTTCTCAAGTTACCTTATACAATATGGTAATGCAGCTTAGACAAAAATAGTACACCTATACAACAGACAATTGATATAACCAGCCTTTAAAAAGTCTTTCTTGTTTTTTTCAAATCATTGTGTGACCATTTACAATTTATTTTTTCATTGTCTCTTCAAAACAGTTGTATAAAAAGTGTCCCATATTAGTTCAAGGCTATTGTAAGTTCTCAATTCTTGGTATGTATATTTTCACCATATTCCAAGAAATAAGTTCCAGTTTAAAAGAAATTACCAACTATTATGGCCATCCTGCTAACTCCATTTCTTTGGTTTGCTCCAAATCTTAAAATGCTGTCAAATTAACGTTTAAAGAATTCCATTAATTAATGATCAATGAATCAAATTACAGCTTCTAATGTAAATTAAATAGTGAAAGTCTTTTTTGTTGTATGCACCTGGTAACCAAAAAAAAAAAAAAATCACAGATATTTAGACTATTTAGACTTTCTTTGCTGCAAGATGAAATTCATGTTTGTCCTGCAGTTTACTTTTAGTCAGGACAAAGTGGCTGAGAAACTGGGGAACATGAAGTTCTCTTTACACCAGATAAATGATACAACCATGCAAAAGTGATAGATTGAGGTTAACCTGTTTAACAAAAAACAAGATCCCAAACTGGGAAAAATATCCAGCTTCTCAGTTTGACAGAATGAGGTTGATTGTAGCTTCTAACAGTTGCAGTAAGGCTAGCAGGTACTGTACCTGAAAGACCTCTCCAGGGAGAGCACAGGTGCAGATGCATCCCTGACTAGCTCTCATTCTTTGAACAGTTCCTCTTCGTAGATGCAGGCTGTAAAACTGCTGCCTCTGACTGACTGGCTGCTGGTGAACACAGTTAATAAGAAGACGACCCCATCCTGGATATCGACAAGAGCAGCCGGGCCTTTTCTCTGTGCACTGACGGCTTACACAGTCTGAACTTCACAGCTGACCTACAGTAATGGGGGCTGTCTGATCCATACTCCTGAGCAACCATTCAGGGTTTATTCCTTCTTAATGTAAGCAGTTAACTTCAGAGGTAGGGAAAAAATGTGTTCAGCCATGTCTGAACAAGCTGCTGAAACAGGATCATTTAATCATCATGTTATTTTGATGAAAGGGTTAGTTAATAAAATAAAGGAGGAATGTACAGTATACAAATTCTTCATTAAAAAATCAACAGAATTGAAAACAAAACAAAAATTACAGAGTTAGATTTTTTTTATCTAATATATGTTTCAAAACATTTTTTTTCTTACATAAGTAAAGTTGGCTGTTACTCTGAAATGCCCCCCTGCCTCCAACATGTATGGATTATGCATAAAAGGCTTAATCAGGAGCCCCAAATATTTCACTGATATTCATCTTTGCTGCCAAGAGGGATCAATTCAGCTAAGCTTATTCCAGAAGCTAAGCCCGCATGATTTTTGCAACGTTTTAAGAAATAATTTATCAAAATTTTAGTAGTGGTCAGCAATGCATAATTTTGTAAATTAGAGAAAGTTCTAAAAATGAAATATTATTTTAGAAAAAGGTTAGGGTCTTTGTCTGTCCCAGTCAAAAGAAAATATGCCCTGACTCACTGAACGATTGACATGCCTGCCAATCTTTTAAATTACATCATCTACAGTGGTTAACCTTTGCAAAATGCACTTAATCAATTGCTTCTAATTCAAGAAATTAGTCTGTCTTTTTATAACAATACATTTTCTTTTATGATATAAATGTGAAGTTTCAATTAAATAAATTCAAATAATCTAAAGCCAGCTTGTATGTAGCAGTTATAAGAATATGAATATATTTATTTGAGCTGGATTTGTGTTTTAGTGTCATGTCCCATAAAATGACCACTAGAGGGTGCATGAATAATTCTTTTCAAAGTGAGAAAGTACAAAGAGGAATGCAACTTTCATAAGCAATAATAGCCTCAGCTGATTTAAAAAAGGTAAGCAAAGTCGAGAAGCTGACCTTTTTTACAGCCCACACACATAATTATCTAAGAGCTTACATTTCCAGATATTGCTTCTGGAATCAGACAGAAAAGCACATCCAAGTCGAGGTGATAATTCAGTTTCTTAACAGTGGCAGGGAGAAGATGCTGTTCAATTAACACAGACACTACTGACACAAGATCAGAGTCCAATCAGACTACTGGACACAAATAATAAATAAGCCAATTGGGCTTATGGTATCTCTGAAAGAGTTATAAAGAGTCACAGCCCAGTTATGGATTCAACAGATTTGTATACTATTTGAAAAAAAGAGCTATTGTTAAGAAAAAGCCACAAGAAGTCCAATATAAATGTTGGTAGAAGCAATTATAGCGAGAGGGTGAAATGTGTTTTCCAAAGCTAATATGCATAAAATGGGCTACATGTCCTGTCACAGTAGGTTTCGAATTCATTCATTAGAGTAATTAATGACATAAACCATCATAGACTTTATGAATTAACATACACGGTTCTGACTTATTCTGGCTTTCCAGAACAATTCTTACCCTGTTTTCTTCAGTACAGTTCCAAAATTTAAGGTCATGACCAAAATCCCTAATGCATATGAGTTTTAATGTGATAGAGCCACACAAAGAACTGTAAATAAGGAAGAAAGGTGGAAGGAAAATGACACCAGTGTTTCAGGTAAACATGCAAAGCATGGTGTAATTCCCCTGAGCAGACAAACCTCAATAGATGCCTTTATTTACCAGGAAGAAGTGAATAATCATAATATTCCTTGTAAAAATGTTTCTAAAACATAATTGGTGGGTAAACTAAAAATTGACCCACCACTTTAATACCACATGCGACTCTGTGTCGGTTGATCACACACAATCACATAATTTACCTTTTAATTGTCTGCCTGTAATGTGACAAAATGTTAAAAAGTCCAAAGGCTATCAATATTTATTCAAGCAAAAAAATTATTAACTACTGGTTTATTTCATTATCCTACCTGATACAGCGCAATTAGCTTAAAACTAAAGGGCCTCAAGATTAAAACGAGAACTGCAACTCTAAGATGAAAGCATCCCTTCAATGACGAGACAAGGACTGAGAGAGTATTGGCCCCATGGTGCAAGTTCGGCTCTTTAGAAGATTGCCATTTGGTAAATTTATAAATACATTTTTGTTGAAAATGTCATGACTGTCCTGCAACAACTCATGCAATGTTTCATCCTAAATTATAAAATTCTAATGATTTTGCTCACAACACTAACTTCTATTTCACATTCTTCCCAGAGAAAAAAGGCCAACCTCCAGATGAACAAAAGGCTTAACTGGATATCTCTCTGCCTCCTGAGCACGCGTCTGTCAGTATTTAATACGTCACACTGGTTAAATGTCATGTCCAGACTGCAGCCTGTCTTATCTCGTTTTCCCAATAAAATGCATTATTGATGAGGGCCGATATCAAGTCACAGTCTGTTGGCTGCTTTTATGTGCTCTTTAAGGGACACATGATGTGATCAACAAGCATGATAGCTTTGACACTTTGAAATAAACTTTTTTGATTAAAGGATTATTTTTTGCATTGATATCAGCATATGAAACGCCTTAATTCACATCACAAGACAAAAACATAAAAAGAAAGCAAAGAAAACTGTATATAAATAATGTAATATTGTAAACTAAGATCAAAGATGGATGCGACTCTCTGCAATGAATGGTACACTTTTTCTTTAAATTATTTCTAACACGTAATTAGGGAATATCTTTCTGAGCTTTGTTATCCTCATATTGCGATAAAGTGGTGCTAATGGAAAGTCCAATTTTATTTTTTGAAGAGGCTACTGGGATTTTCACAGCATTACTAAGTACCGGTACTTCTCTAAATACTGGATCTAGAGCCTAACTTGACCTAATCAATGCTGCTGTCTGTGATAATCAATCAATAATTATTGATTGATTATCACAGACAGTTGTTTTTTTTTTACTTATGGTCTTAAGATGTTTATCTCTACTCTTTCAAAAACATTCGTTTTGTTTCAGCATTTCAATTGTTTTGTCTCTTGGATGTTTAAGATCGGCTTTTTTTTTCTATATTGGACAAAAGTAATAGCATGAATGCAAAAAGTATCATCTGGTGGAAAAAAAATTCCAAGCTATATATATATATATATATATATATATATATAT